CATCGGGCCTCTTATTAATCTTTAATTCGTTTTTTTTTAAATTAATACTTGTGGTTTTTCATCTAAAAATATCATGGGAAGCTACCCATATCAATGAAGAGAACTTTTACATTCTTTTCCACAGCAACATAATCTCCTGGAGAATTGAGGTACTTTGTTAGTACCATAGTGCATAAGGATTAAAAAAGGTTTTATAGGCCTTCCCTGGTGGCACAGCACTAAGAAGCTAAAGCCACTTCCACAACAGTTCGATCCCGGACTGCCCCAGAGGATATCCACACAGCACGGCAGACCTCTCCTGACCCTCCCACTGCTCCCCTCAGCAGTGTACTTCATCCATCTGCTTGTTCTGCTTCCCACTCTGTCTCTGGTGGGTCCTCTCACCCTCCGCATCTCTGGCCTGTACTCCAGTTCTGTATGAATGAATACATAAATCTTTAAAAAAAAAAAAAAGGTTTTATAATGAAAACTTCTGGAAATGACAATCACATTTCTGTGGCATGTTTTTAAGCTACTTTATAGTCATTGTCCTCTGTGTTCCAGGTACTGATATTTCTTTTTTTAATTGAGATAAGAAAACAAAATGACATCTACACTTTAAAATTTTTTTTTAAAGATTTATTTATTTATTCATATAGAACTGGGGTACAGGCCAGAGATGCGGAGGGTGAGAGGACCCACCAGAGACAGAGCTGGGAGCAGAACAGGCAGATTGATGAAGTACACTGCTGAGGGGAGCAGCGGGAGGGTCAGGAGAGGCCTGCCTCGCCATGTGGTCACCTCCAGGGCAGGCAGGAGTCGAACTCATGCAGAAGTAGCTCAAGCTTCTCAGTGCTGTGCTTTAACCCGCTGCGCCACCAGGGAGGGCCTACACTTTAAAATTTTTAAGTGTACAATGCAGTAGTGTCAACTAGAGAAACAGCATTTTAAAACATATTTCTAGAACTTATTCATCTGCTTATACGTGGAATTTCATAATAGCATTCAGTTCTTTTTTTTCTAACATAAGGGTGATGACATGATAAAAACAAAACAAAACAAAAACAAACAACAACAAAACAAACAAACAAACAAAAAAAGGGGAAAAACTACCGGAAATGCTTTCTATAAATATAAATTCACTTGAGCTGACTCTTCAACCTTCAAGGAAACTTGCAAGTTAGTATTTGCTAATTATGCCTTGAAGACAATCTCATATTTTAACATAAGATACTCACACTACCCTAATGTTTCTACATTTAAATCAATATTAAATTGCATAAGCATTAAAGACCTTTTTCTAAATTTGACATTTCTTTATTCAGCATTAAATACATATAAGTTCCCTTTAACTTTCAATAATTGAAAATGTGGTGACTGGCTACTTGAAGAGAGCAAGCAAAGTGAGTTAACAGTGCAAGCTTCAGAGTCAGGCAGCTATAGATTCTGCCTATTTTGCTATTTATGGCAAAAAAAAAAAAAGCTTTGTGATCTTGGGCCAATCAGAATAAACATCAATTTTTCTATAACTCTATAATTTCAGGACATAGGATTTAGGTCAGTAGATTGTACACAAGATCAACTGAAAAATGCACATGAATCACATCCCGTAATAGTTAATCAATGGTAACTTTTATCATCATCATCATCATCATCATCATATGCATCTGTGTTATATTCTGTGCTAGATGTTGAAGAACAGTAAAACATAGAACACCATCCTCACTCTCAAAGTTCATGGCATATTGGAAAGGCATGCCAGTAGATAAAGAATACGTTTAATCTATAACAAAGCAATAGATCAACATATTGAATGTTCTTTTAGGGGAAAAAGGTGTTCTGGAAATACATTTTACACAATTATCTTGAGGAAATTAAAGGTTCAAGAGCATCTCCATTGGAAGTAATATTATGCATACTAACTTCATTTTTCACTTATCAAAGAATATAGAGAAATATACAAAGCTCGAACAATGTAGTAGTTATTTTAATTTCAGCAGGTGGAACTGGAAGGCTCTTGAATCTGACAGCACTTTTGAATCTTAGAAACTTCTTGATTATGTACATAAAAAAAAAGGAATGATGTGAGTCCTCTTACTCCCATATTTGTTGCTTTTGTTTATTGTTAGATATTTACCCCATAAAAGCAAAGTGTGAAAAGTAGGAGAGAAAAAGCTGATTTCTATCTTTCTCTTCATTTTTTTGTGTAACAAGTAAGAAACATATTTTCTAGTTTAGTTTGATAACAATCAAAAGTCACAAAGGAAACTCCATACATTCAAAGGGAGTAATATGTGGATGCTTCTATAAAGACGTGTTTATAAAATACACAGGCTTTTTATTTTGTTGAAGGTGCTTAAATGTCAAGATTACACCTCTCCTGAACAAATACCATGGTTGCCTACACGTTATAAGACAAAATTCAAGAAAAAAAGACATTCCCTTAGAACTGTAAGACACCATTCAGATATTACATTTGTAAATAACCTATGTTTACTAATTTTAAAGTCAGGCATCAATAGTAGACACTGGGATAGACATCAACAGCCACTACAAAAGAAATTTCAAGCCCCAGATCTTTGGGGTCAGCTCTGAATTTGGAGTTTCTTTCAACACACAAACCTCTTGATCACAGTCCTGAAAGTATTCTTCATTGCCTGCCACGGTTTTTTATGGTAATCACAACTCATGAATATGGTGGCATTGTGTTGAAAATGGTTTGTTTTAAGTCTAAGTGTCACTACACTTTACTATCAGGAACAGACATTTATCAATTAGGAATAAGAACTGGAATTTGAAGAAGCAACAAAACTTGTGGAAAGTGGACACTTTTTATCAGGTTTGAACACATTTAGAACATCTTTCACTTGAAATGCTGCAGAAGGCAATATCCAAGATACACTTTGGAATATCAAACCTAAAACGTCGCTGCTGATAAATAAATGCACACAGAAATGAAATACTTCTTTATCCTTAAGCACCTCGCCACCAAATTCAATATTCACTCTCCTTCACGCAAACTCCGCAGTTTAGCTTCTAGCTCTTTCTTTGCAAAGCAAGGGAAACCGGACTTCGGGTCTGCGCCCTCAGAACTCCCAGTGCTAGTGTCTGAGAATAGCCTCGTTAGCAGCAGTGTCCAGGGTGGTCCCCTCACTCCAAGGGGCAGTCTCCATTGATCCACCACCCCCTAATATCTACAGCTCCTCTCAGTCTCTGCTTCTTTCACAATCGGCTAAACCTAATCCAAAACCAATTCATTCCAGAAATTCAGATGCGCGCCGGGTAGCTACTGGTCCGCATCCCCAGGAGTCAGCAATGCTCACCTTCCAAAGCTTTGGGGAGATTTCTGAGCTGCGAGTAGTTCGAGCAGTTCGCTGGCACTCCTATCGACACAAGTTTCATCTTTTCCACCTCATCATCCTCTTGTTCCACTTTCGCGCCTTGGCGACTACACGTTCGGTGTTCAGTACTTACTCTATTCTGGGCAAAATCTACCGCCTTTCAACTCTTAGCGAGTCCGTCAAGAGCACATTGTTCCACCTGAATGGAGAATTGGCTGAACAGCGCATCTAGAGCTGGAGCAAAGGAACCTCGCACTATCTGCAGGCGTCACAACTTCGTGTTTTCTTCCTGTGGTCCCACGCTGTAGAGACTCGCCAAGTCGGGAGTGAAAAGACTCGCAGCAGTGCTCAGCCTGGCAAGACTTGGGAAGGCAGTGCAGCGCTCTAGTTGGCGCAGCGACCGAGCACAGCACGAGGGCGAACCATGACTTAAAACAAACATAAAAAACAAAACAAAACAAAAAGGACAAAAAAGCCAGGAGGCAAAAGTTTACTTTTGGTGAGCAATTCCGCGGGCCCCGTACGGGTAAGAAACTCCCACTGGGAGACACTTTCCTAGGTAGCTGTGAAGTCCGGAGTGTTTCAGAGAGCGAAGTCACTTTGGCTTGAGGTTCCTCATCTGGGCAGCACCCAGTGATCCCTCCAGGCTGTCGAGGGAAGCGAAAGAAGTTGGGATCTGAGATAGTCTGAAACCTAGACAGCTGCTCCCGGTGCAAAACCTTGGAAATGGCTGCTAAAGGGGCTGGGTCTCCAGACTCTTAATCCCTCCCCGTTTTCCATCAGAGCCGTTCACCTGCTACCGTCCAGTTTGCAATATAAGCGTAGACCCTAAATTAGCCCAGTCCCCAAAGCCAGGCGTCACGAATCCTTAGGCACTTCATTTCAAAAAGATCTATTGGTATCGCCAGGAACTCCTGGAGGAAAATGTCACTCGAGGGAGTGAAAAGAAAAGATGGATCAAGAGGGAATTATGAACTGGAGAGGGAATGTAGGCTCTTCTATTCGGAGGACCTCGGGGAGCCCCTCAGCTTCTTTGGTAGCAGCTACAGCCACTTCAAACAGCCCCCCGCAGTAGGGGTGGAGATGGCCCTGGAAGGTGGGGATGGGGAGAGGGTTAATTCTTAGTCCAAGACCTCACGATGGGTGCCAGCAGCGTAACTGGCCTGAAGGAAAGATCTGGGTGACGAGAACCCTGAGAAGGTAGAGATCTCGGAGCTGGCCAAGCGGACTTGAGGGCTCCTGCGAGGAGCCTGCCTGCCAGCAGCAACCCCTAACTAGTGTGGGGTGGCTGAGTTTTCTCGTCGTCCACGTCTGGGCACGCTCTGCCCCTCCTGCCTCTTCCGACTTCTCGCTCGCGAGTGGCCGGGGGTCGCCGGCGCGGGCTGGGCGTGCGCGTGTTGCATCGCGCGCGCGCGGGAGTGTGCGTGTGTGTGCGCCGCCCGCGCGCTGAGCCCGGCCGCCCGGACTCCGCCGCCCGCCGCCCGCCGGGTGTTTCCCTGCAGCCGCATCCTCGGAGCCTCCTCACCTGGCGCTCGCCGCCTGCCGCCCGCCGCCAGCCTAGCCCCTCTCGGCCCGGCTTGCCTCAGCCGAAAGTTTCCTCAGCACAGACACCTTCGCCAGGGGCTGCCCAGGGGGGATGGGTTTCTGAACCTATGCCTTGAAGTGGTCCTTGGCTACACCTCCCCGCCTGGTCTCCACCTAAAGAGAAAGGACAGTGGATTTTCTAAATTAAGGGGAGAAAAGGTGAGGGGGACTTTCAAGAGAGGGAGGAGCGGCCACAACCGAAAAATATCCGATTCTTTCCTGCCCACTGCCGGAGTATTAACTGCCAGGCGTGTGGTGTTAAAGGAGAAAATTAAATAGAAAGCCAAGTTGACCGAGGAGAGACTGGGAGGTTTCCGGATGCCGGGAAGGAAGGTTGTCCCTGTCTGCGTTTCCACCAGTGTGAAGATTTGGAGGCGCCTCTAGTACGAGGTGTTTTTTTTTTTGGACCCGCCACCCTCCTTCTGCTCCCATTGAAAGGAAACGCCGGCTAGCAGGGAAGTCCAGGAAAAGCCTCTGGACTTGGGTGCGTCGCAATCCTTAGCTTTGGATTTTAAGGACCTGACCAAGAATTAACAGCGTTTCCAGGTAAGAGACCACAAAAAACCGCCTGGTTTGCCAGGAGGAAGAAAAACTTAAAATAGATGCTGGGGTTGGGGCGCGAGCCGGGTTGAGCCAAGTTAGGACGCGATGTCGCCGCGTGGTCGCGCGGGCCACGCGAATGGCCCGGGGCTGCGAGTCGGAGAGTAGCCGGTTGTCGCGGGCGCCCAGTTCGGAAGCTGCAGCCGAAGGGAGTGCCCTGACCTTACACTTTGGAACCTATGGGAAATAGGTATCCTGCTGGTTCGTCTGTCCAGGTTGCTATATAGCATGTGTGCGCGCGCGCGTGTGTGTTTCCGGCGAGCTTTTTTTCCATTAGCACCGCAGACCCATCCCCTCGAGGCCCTGGAGCGTGTGGGCGCTGCTAAGCGCTGACAGGACGCTGTGGCAGGTGAGCCTGGCGCAGGTGGGCAGGTGGGGGCGGAGGCAGCATCCGGCCGGAGGATTGGGGGGCGCGCGCAGCAGTCGCCGGCGTCGCCGCCGCCTTCCGATCTCACTGCAGCCGCCGTCCGCTCCCGGGCGCCTCGGGTCTGCTGCGGTTCCCTTCGCCTCCGCTAGAGGCTCCCAGCGGGCGCCGCGGAGAGGGTGGGTGTGGGGGCGCTGGGAGGCGGAGGGGCGAGCGCTGGGAGCGAGCGTGCCCGCGGGGTGGCAGAGCGGGCGCGGCAGGGGGAGGCGAGCCCGGCTAGGGCGGGGGACGTGAGCCGGAGTCCCGGCGCGCCTCCTGGCTGAGAGCAGAGCTGCGGAGACGCGGGTCCGAATCCGGGCTGAGCTCGGGAAAGCTGTGCCCTGAGCTGGAGCCACTTCACCGATTCGATCCTGGCCCGATTCCCGAGGGCAGTCCCGGGAGGTAAAGTCCTCTTGTTCCACTCCCCTTTTGCCCCTTGGTTCTAGATAATTTCTCAAGTACCCCAGGTGGGAAGGGGTGGAGGTGCGGGTCTGTGACTAAAGGTGCCTTTCAGTCTTGCTTGGTGGAGCTCCGTGCAATGTATATTCGAACTAAACCCTAATTTGGCCCGCCTACCCCTGAATATTTGCCGGCTTTAAGGGAAGTTTTATGCAGAGAGGGCCGGGCTCCTCGAAGGTGTGTTAGGAGACCCGCTGTGTTCCCCTGAGCCGCAGTGGGCTGGAGTGCACGACTCTAGGGGTGGGGTGTGGTGGAGAAAGGAGTACCACACCCTTTTCTTTTCCTCCCCTTTCCTTTTCACCTGATGGTGAAGTCTCACCATCTAGCTTTTTACTGATTTCCTTTCCTTTCCCAAGGGGTTGACTCTGAGAACAGAGCAAAGCTGCTGAAACACTTGGAGAGAGAGAGATAAGCATGAGTAGGAAGTCTTGGCCAGAACATCAAGGGAGCAAGGAGGGTGAAGTTAAGCTTGTGTGTAAGGGAGGAGGGGGGATTGCTGGGAAATGGTTTGGAGTTCAGATTATTTGATGAAGTCTGATTCATTTCCCATTTCACACTGTCTTTGAGATAATCCTTGCCCAAGCCACTAACAGAAATCGTTTCTGCAAGATACTGCCTTGGGCACAGTGGGTACTGAATATGTTTGATGATTGTGTGTAAGTGAAAAAAAAAAACCCAAAAAACAAAAAAAAACCACGAATAGGTATTGTTTCTGCTTGGCATGATTAATCCATGTCTGTCAGATAACTGCTGATGTATGTGTTGTGTGCTGTGTTGTTTGTGCATACCATATGTGGTCATCTTACATTTAGTCATGCAATTTCAGAGTCCTTTTAACAAACATTACTTGTGATATTAAACCTCCTGCAAAATAACATTAAAGGAAGATGAAAATACGGTGGGGGCATGGAATATTCTATGCAATACTAAATAAAAGGTGGGGCCCAGCATTTGTGAAATATTGGGCCACAGACCGAAGGAGTGAAATATATGTTTTAGAAAAGGGAAGCAGTGGCTAATATTTTAAAAGCAGGGGGATGTTCTTCAGTGTACTCTCATCATCATCCAGTAGCATGCATTACTTCCAATACAGTTAGAGTGTGAGGCAGAAAACATGAAGCACTTTCTGATGAAAAGTCAGTTATATTACCTTACAAATTAGAATTTAAATGGAATGCCTTGTTACTTGTGATGATTGAAGTGGTTTGGTGATCATCTACTATTTTTGGTTAAATATAATATGTAACTTAATATTATATAATAAGAACAACTTAGTGAAAATAGAGCAGGTCAATTTATTGATTAAAAAATAGAATAAAACATAACATGATATCAAGGAAGATTTATGTGAAGTTTGTCATTCATGTATTACATTGGATCTAGGTCTGTATGGAAGGCAAGAATATATAACTTGAATTCTCAAAAAAAGATGGCATTCTTAAAATGTACTGTTTTGAAATTCTATATGGAAAGATAATTATTACTCACCTAAGAGTTATCTGTATGTATAGACACAAATTATTTATTTGATGCATATGCAAGACAAATATGTAAAAAGGGCTCAGTTTTCTTTCTAAGAGACACTTCTGAAACCAAACGAAGAGCATCGGTGCTAAGAATCTGTATGTGATGTAAGACAGATACTGTGTTTCTTGACAATTAGTTCACTGAAACTAATGAGGTTGTTTTGTAAGCGCAAATTCAGTTTTAGGACTCTATTTCAAAATATATTTTTCTCTCTAATAAATGTGATTTTTAAAAGAGATCAAACATTGAACATTTCCAGGTATGCCACAGATCAGAAAACCATTTCAGTCCTCTGAAACTTCATATCAAGAATAAGAAGTGATAGAATGTTGTCACAAATTAATTGGCTTGATGCTGCAATTAAAAACTGATTATTATTTGGCTCTGGTAGTCATTATGGTTGATTCCACTTGGTCTCTAGATATTCTGTGAAAGGACTCTAGGTGGAAATGTTTTCCTGTAGTACAAGGAGTGGAGGTCATTATATGCAGAAAGGTTTGTCAGTTACTGATTCTCCAATTTGACTGCATTTTATCCATAAAGCAGGAAACTAGATTGAAAACAAAAGGTCAGTTTAAAAAAAAATATGTGGATATTTCTTTCTTTGTCATAACCCTCTACCTCTAGGTACTCCATTTATAGTTTTGATGTGGAAATAGGTCATTAAGCTTCTTCCTATTATGGTTTAGGAGCTACTGTGATTTTAAGAACTATAAGTACTCTTTAATTACATAAAACTGTATTTTCTGAAACAAAAAAATCACTTGTTATTAAACATGATGTTTGATAAGGAAAGTAAAGGAGAATAGGAGAATCAGGTTAACAACCAGGCATCACATTCAATCCTCTAACTTCGTGTACCTTTATTCTTTCAGCAACCATCATTTTTTTTTTATTTTTAAAGTCTTTTTTGATTATTTTATTATTTCATCCCTCTTTTTCTCCTCCTCTTCCTCCTTTCCTTCCTTCTTTGCTATTTTCCTCCCTCCCTCCTTTCTTTAATCATTTAATTACCTCTCTCTTGGTTAAAATGTTTCTTTCAGAGAGAAACCTGTGCCAGTGTGAAGTTATTGAATAGTTATCAATCCATAATGTATTTTTAAGTGGCAACTAGTCTTAAAATATTGATTGTTCCATTTGTTCTTGAATTTAAAATAAAAGAAACCCACTAGAGTTGTGGATTTGGTTTTTTAGGGAGTATAAATCTTTGGTTGATACTTATCTCAAACTTTGTAGAAGCCTCTTGTGTCTGGCTACAGTTCTACTGGTCTCTGTTTCTGGGAAGCCTAAAAGCATGGAGGAAAGTCACCGGTTATACATGGTGCATTGTGCTTTGAGTGCCTGATTTTAATACTTTTTCTATAGGCATAAGGGTCAATATAATCAAATCTGTGATTTACATGGAAAGCAAGTAGTTAAGAGACACTTGTCAGTGTTTAATGTTCAGACATCGGTAACCCATTTTAGGAAACCATTAACTCTAGTAACTTTAGTAGATGGAACTATTTTTTGTAAAGTGTCATTCAAGAAATATAATTACTAAAAGGCTTTTAAAAATGTTCTCAAACAGAAAATTCAGATTCCAACAATCTCCCAAGAGAGCTAAATTCAGTGCCTATGGGAGGCAGCATGAAGAAGTAGAAAAAGCACTGACTTTGGCATCAGAAAATTAAATTCTACTGTATTTTATGACTAGTTGTGTCAGTTTGAAAAATTATTATTTTTCTAAAATTCAGTTTTGAATTCTGTAAATGGTTTTTAAAATTTGGCTATACCTAGGACAAATTTTGGAAAAAAGAAAACAAAAATTCCAGGTGCCAAGTAAATGTCAGGCATTATAGCATTGATAGAAAAGTAATGAAATATATTTGAAGAATACCTATGACATTTTTGTAATGAAGATGGATTTTTTTTTTCCTGGAACAGCTATTAAAAAGTTTTATAAAAGTGAAATATAAATTAATATGTATGTGTGTGATGAGTCTCTCAAAATTATTGTTAATATGGTATAACTTATGTGATATGTGTGAACAAAAGTATTTCTGGGCATTTGAGCTGAGTTCAAAGAGTTGTGATGATAAAGGAGAGGAAAAGAAAAGGAAAACGTTGTATGTTGTACTTTTTTCTCCATTTGTGTACTTAATTATGACACAAGTAACAATTGTGTTTGAGTTCATTATTGTTGGGTCACTTACCAGTTTCTATAGAAACATAAAAAATGCCTTGCTTGTGAACTGCTGATTCAATAGCTTAATTTATGAAATTATAAACAAAATTAAAAGAATATTTTAATTTTTATATTGGAATTTGCACAGAGATGCAGAAAGTCCTTTTGTCCTACTTTACTGTAGTGGTTTAAATGCTAATTATATTATTTATAGATTATTTTAATCAGGTGAATTAGTTAGAAAATAAATGGTAGATATTAAATGACTCATTGATTTTAATAGAAGTTTAAAAGCCCCATTGAAGTAATCATATGCTCTTTTGATAAAATATGAGGCCTGGTAGGATTTTAAACTAGAGTAAAATTTTCTTTTCTAAATGTACTCCCTCT